GTGATCCCTCACGATGGATCACCGTACTCCAGGGTGATCCAGCGGTCCGTGCGTTTCTGCCTATCTTATCGTGCTGACCGCCCTTGGGGCAGTGTCCCGCGGTAGCGGCGGCTGATTCTGTAACATTTTTCTTTTTACTATATCTTTCCTAGAGCTAATTATTAATTCTTATAGTAAGTACTATATAGCTTATAAAGTCTTTAGGCCTTCCTATCTTAATAAGTTTATCTTTTATAGCATTCTTCAGCCTGTTATAGAAGGCTGCTATAAGTAGTTCTATATCCTATTCTAAGTGACTTATTACTTATTAGAACTTTATTAAATATTAGGTTGCTGATCTAGTTTATCATAGGTTTTAGAGCTATCTTTCTATAGCTTGTTCTTTATTAGGGTCTTTAAACACTTCTTTTAGTCTGGCTATAAACTTCCTAAACCCTCTATTAAACATAGCAATAGTTTTTATATTATAATTCTTACTATTATACTCTAGGTAGTCTTATAAGGTTGGTTTAAACCAGGCAAGTACTTCTCCTTCTAGGTAATTTACTATAAAGAGCACTTTATCTACTATAAGCTTGTAGTCATCTAAATAGTACTTAAGGTAGGCCTTTATTTAAATAAGCTATTCTTAGAGATCCTCTTTCTTTCTATCAAACTTCCTAGGTTTTTTATACTTTAGTCCTTCTTTTATAGCTTAGCTTCCTTAGAGGCTATTGACTTAGTTCCTAAGTTAAAGGATTTTATTATATACCTATTCTATAGTGAAAGTAGGCCTAGTATTAGTAGAAGATGCTTTTCCTAATATAGTTTTCTATAAATATTACTTAGAGTATAGTCCACTTACTAAATAAGAGTATTTAATATATAATGATCCTTAATCCTAAGAGGTACAACTACTTTATAGAACTAGAGGTATGTAGGTTTATATAAGTAGTAGGTAATAGGTGCTACTAAGCATTAATAGTTAATTATAACTAAGATAGCTTCACTTAAAGGTACTTTATTAAATAAGATACTTTAAATACTAGAGAGCTATCTAAGGTAGGTATCTAAGAGTAGACATATATCTATATATATAGACAATAGATTACAATAGATTATGGTGATCCTTTATGAGTCCTTGCTACAGAGTGTAGTGATCTATGGTGAGGGATCACTAGCTTAGACAGCGATCCTAGGGTCCATACGTTTTCTGCCTATCTTATCTTCCTGACCGTCTGGGGTGGTGTACCGTGGTAAAGGCGGTTGGTTTCATGACACCAACCTTATACTATAGCTATAATTATAAAAATTTATAAATAGCTTTATTTTTATTATTAAAATCATTCTTTAAATTTATAGCTTCACTATAACTCTATAGCTAATAGGATTTCTAAATAGGTTATATAGACTATTAGTTATATAAGTTTCCTCTTAGTATTTATCCTCTTTTTAGTAATCCAGAAGGCCTCCAGACAAAGGTACATAGAAAATTTACATAAAATTGTCTTGGCAGGTTACGGGCGAAGTTACGAAATATACAAGGTCAGAGTACTGCCTGAAGGGGGTTGGGCTGGTTACAGGGGGTCGATAAATTGATTTTTTACGGCTTTTTGTGGGCGTAACCCATGGATTTAGGACGGTCGTTTTATATGCATCTGGGCCTTAGGCAGCGTCCACTGTAGCGCGTCGCTCAAGAACTGGGGCCGAGAAGTCTGTCGTTCCAGCTCGACATACCTAGACGGCTGACGACGCTCCGCGCGCGCCTATTGGTGATGATGGCCGCTCCATGATGCGCAAATACATGAGCAAGCGGCAGCGGCCATGCGACTTTTGCCGGTCACGAAAGTCGGCCTGCCGGATTGAGGGCCAGCCACCGTGCCGCCTGTGTCTACTCCACGGCCGGGACTGCACCTTTGTTGAGGCGGCAAAGCCGCGCAAGAAGCCGGCTGACCATGTCGGTGGCCGTTTCGAATGCGGCTCGCCGGCTGCCAGCAGTCTCATTGCTCGTGATGCCTCGTCCACGGTGGGCGGCTCATCTCCTGTGCAAGAGGCCCTTGCTGCTCTATCCCCGTCTGCCCAGGAGACTGCTTCGGGGCGGGCGCTGCTGTCTCCCTTTCAGCCCGACGCTAGCCTGGCTTTTGCCGACACAAGCCTCGATTTCCTCTATGACCTTGCCATTGATGGCTCAGAATATCAATTTCTGCGTAGAACACCACACAGCCCAGCCGGCTCGATGGTCTCGGCTGCGCCGCCGCCCGAAGCCCGGCCGCTCGCCCCCATCGTGCAGCATGTCAAGCCCGCCAATGGCGGCGCGTCATTGCTAGATGCAGCTGGAAGCGCCTTTCCGGAGATCATAGGCCTCAGTGGTGATATGGACCCCTTCCTGTTGCGGAAATATAGGACCGATACCTGCGGCATCTTCAAATTCAAGCAACTGGCTGTGCACTCTGTTCAGCACGCTGCTGAATACCCCGTCCAATTCTTGATATCGCCAGCTTCGATATTTGACCACAACAGGGAGGAGACAGGATATGTGCTTGCGGCTGAGAGCGAGCTCCGGGTCGAGCTAGAACAGCTGGTGTCTGTCGATCAGGGAAATCGCCTGATCCGCTTGTACGAGATGCTCGTGGCAAGCCAATATCCTATCTTCTCCGCCCAAGCCTCCCCCACTGCAGAATCGAGCCCGCCTCATCTCTTGGCAGCTGTCTATGCCATGGCTTTCCCATTCGCGACGTACGACGACAAGCTTTGTATTGATTTGGCTTATAATTCACCGCCGTACCCCAGTCTGTCTTGCATCATGCACAGATTGATGGCCATTGAAGCCCATTCCCCGAGCCTGGCAGGAGTCCAGGCGCTATTATTAACAGTGTCACGTCAAACGTCAAATCCTTTGGTCTCTGATGCCTCATATCGTTGGAGCATGGTCGGGCGGTTGGTCGCCCTGGCCGTGAACTTCGGGCTGAATTTGGATCCAACAACGTGGAGCATTTCCGAGTCACAAATTGCCCAGCGTCGCCGGATTGCTTATATCATCTACTCTACAGACAGATGGCTGGCTGCAGCTTTGGGAAGGCCACCGCACATTGATGACGCAAATTGGCTTGTGACGTCTCTTGAGCCTACTGATCTGGTGGATTCGGGACTGGTTTCGAATCAGTGGAATCAATTGTTGGCACATTCGTCACTGACCGCAGTTCTAAACACCACTCTGTCCCAGTTATAGTAAGTTGAATACCCGAATCTGTCTTGCGTACTTAATCACTGACACTATTCTAGCTCGGTGCGTGTCGTTCAAGTCTTGGCAAGAGACCACCAGCACATTGCGAGTATCACCGACGGTTTGCTTATCCAGTTGGCCACCGCAGCAGGTCAAAACCAGGAGTGCCTAGCGACTAGCGAGCAATTCCATGACTCAATGATGCATGATGTCACAAAGCTCATGCATATTTACCTCCACCTGCTCATTCTACGCGCAGCCATGCGGCCATTGTTGAGGTTCGACGGACCCATAACAGAGATGGGAATCGCTGATCACGAAGGACGGGTACGATCAAACATGGACGAATGTACTGGAGACTTCGCGGCATACATCCAATCGCTGAAGGCAGAAGAAACTATTGGGCTCTGGCCACCGTGGTGTCAAACTGCATTTTCCTCATTGTGCTTCTCTTTGTTGCTCATGGTGTCGTCGTCGGCGACCCATGATGAGGCAGCAAGATGGACTCGACGACTACAAGTCGTTCGTCGGGAGTTGCGCCTGAAATCGGGTTCCTTCTCTGTGTTACGACTTGGCTTGCTGCGGATAGACTCCATTTTCTGGCGCGGAGTAGACAAAGTCCTAGACCTGAAACCGCATGTTGCCGATGCGCTTCGTAACGCGCGAGAGATCTGAGAGACTGTAGCTTGTCAAAGCGTTTGACTAGACCACATGGACAATGCTGCTTCTATCTATAGCTTCGCTTGAGGTCCGGATTTCTGGAGCCCTCACAATACATCTTCCACTGTTTTCACGGCTTCCCAGGCCATGCCATATCCTGCTTGGAAGCCAGTCCCGCCAGCACCATAATTGTGTACGACCACACGCTTCTCGCCCATTACTACTATTTCGTCTCTCTCCACCCGAGCACCCCCATTTCTGGATGGCCGGAGGCCGGCGAAAGCAGCAAGCAGCTCGGGTGGTTCTCCCCTCAGCTCGGAGCTTAGTGCTTTAGTCCTGTCGAGAATCGACCTCCTTTCCGCATTTCGGTTCAGTGAAGTTGCCACAAAATGGTGTTATGAGCCAACGAGCAGACGGCGTCCACAATGATTGGCGGCGTTTTGATTTCGAGCCTCCACTTTGATCATATGATGGAGACAAAGTCCTCCGGCACAGAATCACGAAAGAGGCTTATTGAGTGCTTGCACGATATTACATTTGATATTAGTATGAACGTGAGCTCTCTAACGTCTATTCTATGCAAAGTGTGCCTCCCTAAGAATCCTTGAAGTGTCTTTGATAAACTCGTGGCTCTTGGCCAGTCCCCTTTGTGGATGGTTGTAATGCGCAAAAGCGTGAGGTACACCCGCATACCTCTTCATTGTGACTTTGTTACCCGCCTGCCTGAGAATTTTGCCATAGTGTTCTCCCTGGTCTCGCTCTATATCGAATTCTGCTGTGACGATATGGGCAGCAGGTAGGCCCTCGACATTCGGGGCCAGAACGGGGGTCATGCGCCAGTCGTTCTCTAGGATGCGATCTTGTTCTTCTGTGATTCGGTTCCTCAGTCAACAGTCTGGACGCTTATCCAAATTTCCCGCTTCCTGGAGACATCTACGGAGTTTAACTCCAAGCCAATACCGGAGGAACCACTGCTCACGGGTCAGCGGGCTCCAGGGCAATGTTTGAAGCATCAGCGCACTCTCATAGAGGCAGTTCTGCGGCGTCAATTTGTTTAGACAGAGGCTGCAGTACCGCATGTCTGTTGCTGGGACGATCATGAGATAGAGTTTGATGTGGACGCCCTCGTCTCTTGCGAAATGCGCCAGAACCGCTGACATTTGACCACCTGATGAGAGCCCACCAAAGGAAACGCTGGTCGGGTCTATGTTGAGGGTCTCCGCGTTGGTAATCGCCTTTGTTTACACAAGTCAGCGTCACGAGGCGACTCAGAATGATATAATCCTTGATTATCTTACCCACTTGACAGCGTCCCAGCAATCGTAGGTAGCGGTGGGATACTTGAATTCTGGACCCATGCGATAATCAACATCAATAACTTTGATATTCGCATCATTGCACATATGTCGACACCACGCAGACTCCGAGTTCAATCCACCGATTACCCAGCCTCCTAACGACGAATGTCAGTCACGAAAATGAGAGCTGGATTAAGTGCTTACCACCGTGAAAATTCAGATGCACTGGGAATGGCCCTGCACCCTCGGGAGAATAGACTCTGACAGTGATCTTTCCTTCAGGCCGTGTGACTGGCACTTCATAGTCCTCAACATAAAATACATCGGGCCCTATATCGTGCAAGTGATGGAAGTCAGGCCCCTGGCAAATCTTGATAGACTACATCGCTGTGGAAGACTCGCCTGGATAGGTTGGATATGTGAAGCTGTACTTTGATGGATCCTTGCGGTACTCTTCTAGCGTGACCTTCTCAGCCCTCTCCAGATAACTCCCATACTCATTCCACAGTGTTCTCCATTCTGGATCAAGGCCAGGAAAATCCTCGTCCTGAATGATATGCAGGAGACGATCAGTCTAAACCCCGGTAAACAAGGCCACTGCCGGCGCCATCTTGGTGACCGTTGTTGAAACTTTGCCCTCTAGATGTGATAATTCCTCAAAGACGAGTTGCCGGAAGACGGCTCAAGAGACGTATCGATTTGAAGAACCCGGTGTGAAAGAAGCTAAGGAGACTTCGGGCAATCTTGAAACCGAATCAGATAAGATGAGAAACGTGTCATGGATGAGGGGATACGACCTGCAAACAAAGGCTCTCATCTACACCCCTTCCGCTCCGCTCATTTATCTCTGTAGACACTACTTACTACGTTTGGGCTATTCCGCGCCTGTTTCTCTTATCAAGATTCACGGCTTCTCATTGGTGGCGTTCTTCAGCGGCCGATCATGAATGCCGATCATGCGGGGGCAGATCCACAACAGACTCTAGTCAAAGATAGGGCGCCCTGAGGGCGCCGTCCGGATGCCACCTATGAAATGGTTGCATTTGCCATAGCATGACTGCTCTATCTCCCGCCCACCCAGTTTCGACGCGCGTGGGCCAGGGCTGGATAAGTGAGGACCCAGGCTTGTCAGGGTTTACTACAGCACATGGGCCCCCGTTTCCCCCAGCTTTTTAAGAACTGTGGGGGAGCGCTGCTCTTTTTCAGATGTGTTGATTGAAGGGCCAGAGTTTTTTGTCCTTTATATCACTGATTCTACTCAAGTGGCTCCAGAGAGGTTCAAGCGACGACTTTGCGAAGGTAGCATAGACACTGCAACCCATTGACAGACATGGACATCGAAGCCAAAGGTCCTGTTGCCCCGGCCGATGTCGCACGCACCGCCGATCACGACACCAAGATGCCTCCTCCTTCGCGGTGGGAAGGGCTGCGAAGGGTGCCGGACAAGATGCCCAAGATCGCTTTGCTGATCCTAGTTGTTGAGGTTCGTCGTCTTGGCCACTCATTAGGCAAACACTTACGATTTCTAACCGAAACCCATGTAGTTCGGCGAGAGGTTCACATACTTTGGGTTGAGTGGTCCTATCCAAAATTACATTAAGTGAGCCTTGTCGGCGCCTTGTGTTGACTTCCCTCGGTTAACACTCTGGCATCGCAGCAACCCATATGATCCTTCGTCTGATCTTCCTGGAGCGCTTGGAAAGGGGCAGGCGACTGCCACTGCCCTAGGAAACTTCTTCAAATTCTGGGCATACGCCTCCACTGTGATTGGTGCCATTATTGCAGGTATGTCTAAGCCAGTGTATTCGACAATACCATGTACCAGTGCTAGTTATTCACCAATTGCCTAGATCAATATCTTGGAAAGTACAAGGCAATTCTATGTGCATGCTCGATTTATATCATCGGCCTCGTCATCCTTGTAGCTACAGCAACTCCTGCCGCTATCACGCATGATGCTGGGCTTGGTGGCCTCATTGCTGCCATGATCACAATTGGACTCGGGACGGGAGGCATCAAGGCGAATGTGACGCCGATGTGTGCCGAACAATATAACAACGCACATCCAGTGCTCAAGACTCTTAAGTCTGGTGGAGAAGTCATCGTCGACCCTGAATTGACAGTCCAGAGACTATTCATGTGGTTAGTTACAGACTTCTGGTGTCATTTGTATTTACTCTAGTGGCTGTACTGACCTGCACTCGTGTTAGGTTCTACTGGGTCGTCAACGTCGGTGCGCTATCACCCTTGATCACTGTCAACGTGGAAGCCCACCACTCTTTTTGGCTTGCATATCTTATCCCGCTGATGTAGGTTTCTCTTCGCGCAGCAATTCAACAGAAAGAAAGGTGCTAATACAGCACGCAACGTACAGTGCAATTCTTATTTCCGCCATAATCTTCTTTGCCGGCCGCAATCAGTATATAAAAATGCCACCTATGGGCTCCGCGATTCTTGATGCCTTCCGGACCACAAGAATCGCGATCAAGGAGCATGGCTGGGAGAATGCCAGACCCACGTCTCTCAGAGAGCGTGGCCACGCCGAAAAGTATCCAATCACCAGCCAGGAGAGGTACACGGATCAGTATGTGGGCAATGTCCGTACCGGTCTCAAAAGCTGCAAGGTGTGTCATGTCGGCTTGATGCTGGTAAACACAAGTTCTAATCTTCAACGGCCAGATGTTCCTTTTCTTCCCCTTCTACTTTATATGCTGGAACCAGATGTGGAACAACCTGATCTCACAAGCTGGTACCATGGCACTTCATGGCACGCCCAACGACCTCCTCCAGAATCTCGACCCGATCGCTCTGTGCATTTTCATACCGCTTCTCGATAGTAAGTCCCAGACATAACCTGCTTGACCTTAGGAACCCGTTTGCTAACCATTGATAACCTTTAGTCGTCGTGTATCCCCTGCTCCGCAAATTCAAGATCGATTTCGACCCTGTAAGCCGCATCTTCATGGGTTTTATGTTCGCTTCATTCTCCATGGTGTATGCGTGTGTGTTGCAATACTTCATCTACAAATCGGCGCCCAACAGCATCCACGTGTGGATCCAGGCGCCGAGTTACGTCCTCGTGGCTTTTTCGGAGGCCTTTGTCATCATCACTGGCTTGGAACTTGCCTTTACACAGGCGCCGAAGAAGTCAGTCACTCTACTCTCACTCCTTACGCTAGTGAAAATACTGACAGGATCAAACAAGCCTCCGTTCTGTGATTTCTGCCCTCTTTTGGTTGACAATTGGCATCGCGGCCGCCATTTGTATCGGACTCAGTCCGGTCTCTCAGGACCCCTACCTGGTCTGGATGTATGGATCTGTTTCTATAGTGGCATTTGTTGCTGGCTGCGGCTTCTTTGCCTGCTTCTTCCCGGGTCGAGCCACATGGAAACCGAAGAGGACGTCGTGCTCGAGGGACATGCTTTGGGGTAAGTATTAGACTCAATGTGAGGAGAGTCACAGAATAATTCAATGGCGTGGTCAATGTATGAACACGCATTCACTTTTCAAAAACCAGGACAGCGATAGTTGGTATTATGTTTTCTCAACATCCACCAAGTTAGGACGATGAGACTATAGCCGGTGAAAGAATTAAGATCAGTCTAGCTGGTGAGCCTTCAGAATACGTTGTACACGATTGACACAAACCCTATACTCCTCAAGCGGCGATAGAGTATGAATATCTCTCGTTCTGACCAATTCCCTTGTTCTATCTAATGAATGGCATAACCGCGTACTCATTTACGAGCCCATGCCCATCTCATCAAGACCTGGGAGTTGCTTGACCCCTGTTGTAATCAAGATGTCAGTAAATAAAATTTAGAAGGCGATCAAGTCGATGCAAACTTACAGCCGTCGTAATCCTCGTGGACTGCGTTCTTGACGGAGCAGGCCTTGGCCGTGTTGATCGCTTGGGTCTTGAGGCCAGCGCAGCTGCGGGCACCCATGCAGCCAGAGGTGTCCATGGCTTTTTGGAGCGAGTCACCTTTCCAGCCAAAAACGTAGTCGGCATGCTGGCCGAGACCCGTCGGGTCGCCGGTCGACAGGATGAAAGGCTGGGAGCCGTCGGCAGGCCATTCGGCCTTGTTGTTGAACGCACGTGTGTCCCAAACGACCTCGAGCATGAGCTGTGGGATGCGGACGGGGTGGGTCGAGGGGCAATTACCGCCGAGGTTGAGGAAAGTTGCTGGGCCTGAGACCGGGTAGGCGACGTGATCCTGGTGGTTGGGGCTGTCGAGGTTCTTGCCGTCCCAGCATGTGGGGAAGAGAATGTTGGAGCGCATGCCGCCGGTGCAGGGCTGCTTTGGGAATGCTTCGGTATCCATACGGGGGTCCTGGCAAGGGGCACCAACGTCACCACCGTGCAGCTGGTTGCCGGTGAAGCATCGGTAGCAGTTCTGAAGCTTGAGCTTAGTGTCTGGGCGGGATCGCTGCATCGGGTCACCGACGAGCATGCGGAAGCCCTATTCCACGTTTGTCAGCTGTCAGTGATTCTCTTCAAAGTATGCTGAATTCTCACTTACGGGCTTGAATGCGGTGATTTTGCCGGGCTGCGCAGAAACGTAGTACACCAAGATCCCACCGTCAGTCTGGGTGCTGAAGTTGTCGCCGAACTGCAGCGCAGCGCCACCTTGGGGCACGCGCTTGTATGTGCCGTTGCGGGCCTTGAAGTACATATTTGCGGTCCAGTAGTTGGAGAAGTCCTCTGAGAAGGCGCAGGTGGTACAGGTCGCGGTGTTGGCAATATCTGCCACGGGCATGGTAACGTTAAAGCCGTTGCCTCCAACGACCTGGTGAATATGCGGCGAGGGGGCCAGACCGGGGTTGACGAGGGGGTCGATCCGGTCAATAACAACCTTGGCGCAGCCGAATCGCAGCATGGTTAGGCCTCCAGCACCGCCGAACTGGGGCGCGGCCTCGGCAAGGGCCGAAAGAGCAAGGATGGCAGACCAGTACATCGTGGTGGATGTCGTTGTCGCAGGATCAGTGGAGGATGCCGAGGAAACAGAGCAAGGGGATTTTCGACCCGGGGCGTTTTGCGGTCAGTCAGGTGTTTTAAGTCAGGGAGGAAAGAGGGAAACGTGATCCTCGGCAGTACAGCGGTCATAGTTCTCTGCCTGCCGCACAACTGCCGTTGGTCGGAATAGTGCCGGGTCATGGGGACAGACGTGCGTATATTATTGACATCTTGGTGACAGGCCTCGAAGCCAACGCCATGTTTATAGCCATCCTATCAGGATCACGGCGAATATTGCGGATCCACCTCTATTTGGGCCAGGTCTGCTACGGTATTTATGGGATAGAGAGGCCAGAGAGGAACGTGGCCTAGAAAGGGGTGACCGTAGGCAATTCTAGTCCACTTTCCGCCAGAGACGAATAATTGATTGGGTTGCACCATGGCCGCCTTTGTCCACTTCCATGTATTGGTCCTTTACTTCGGTCGCAACCTTGGCTGTGACGCGCTCGGGTAAGACCGACTGTCCTGTGCTTGGGGAAGGCACACGAGGTATCTGGCCTACAGAGTGGCGCATCCCCGGCATGATGAATTCTGCCTGATACCTCAACCAGTCGGATAAATCTTGAGATTGCCATCTGGCATCTCTGAAAAGCAAGACAACTAGCTTACGATGGCAATACCTGTTCTAGAATATTCTTAAAGGATTGCCACCCTTACATATCCGCTGCATGGGGTGGATTGCACGTAAAAGCCCTTCGGCAATATTCTGCATCGCTTAACTTCGACATTTGGACCAGAGACCCAAGCTGAAAACAAGCTATCCATGCAGCCATCTTGAGAATCCATTTCATGGTTTACCAATTGGCCGACCCATTGTTGTCAAAGTTGTCTACGCCGGATAGCCAACCAAGCATCCTCATAATCTGCGGCGACTAAACAAGTCACGAGCCATGTGGATCAACCTGAAGAGAAGCCTGCTTGGACAAGTTCGAACTATTTGCATTATTTGGAAGGATACCACCGTATCGGCCGAGGACTAACAGTAACTTTCAGACATCTTCTTGCCTCGGATAGTAGCGACTGATGGGTTGTGTTTGATAAAGCCCTCCATCCAGCCCTGGCCGATGGGTCGGGAATCGCCCTGGGCTTTGACGACTCGAGAAGCCATTTGTCGAAGCTGATAATGGGTGACAGCAAGCCCTAGATCGGCCTGTGTGACTGCTTATTGAACCAAATAGTCCTCCCGATATCTCGTCAAGTGTTGTAGGTGTTCTCTTGACTGCCTTGGGGTCAAACCGCCTTGAACCCGTCGTTGTAGAGTTCCTCGGGGAACCTTGTGCACCTCCGAGCATTTGCGCAGCGATATTCCCTGTTGAAAGTCGTGGAGAGCATTCCAGACATCATTTTCCGTGTATTTATATTTCATCTGCAAATCGCTTCAATTTGGTACCGGTATCATCAAAATTGGTAGAGAACTGGCGCGTTGAATGTGGTGGTATGCATGAAGATTCACGCGATTTTTGGTGTTTTGGGGTGGCCCACTAGGGGTGGCCCGCGATGTGGGTACTTGCCTTTTAAGAATGATCCTAATGTTGGTGGCAATGTTGCCTCCTTCTCCCGGCAATCAAGTCTCAGAGGCGTCGATCAGCAAAGCCACTTCTTCGAGCCGGCCATGAACTGTAGAATCCAGTTCATGGTACTGGGATTCTGCTCCTTCTGGCGACTGCAAAATTCATTCCATTCCCAAAATTTCAGAGCATCTGCAGCTGGTCGAGCGGTGTCCTTCCATTGCTCACGAGGCGGGTACGGAGAAGGGTCAAACACAAGACGAAAATTGAAGTGAGGCGGGTCGGATGCTCCCAGGGCGTCATACTGGGTAATAAAATCACCCTGCTCAAGTGTGACGATAAAGCTCTTTGTGAGGAAAGCCTCCTCCTTGATGAAGCCGTTGGCTCTAGTAAAGCGACTCCACTCGACATCCTCCTGGTGCCAGAACTCATCTGTAAGGGCACATGTCCAGTTGGAACTCCCACGATAGACCGTCGCATCTAGGGCCTTGCGGCAGGAGGCTCACCAGGTTTGGCGAGCGGGTGATTTTCCATTTAAATCTGGTGGCTATCCAGCAGCTATTCTCATGTCCAAGGATGAGCTTATCAATGTTATATCTCAGAGCTGCCCACCATAAATGTCCTGGAAGGTACTCACCTTGCCTGTATTATCCTCATTGAATGTCACCGAGCTTCAATGATTTAAATCCCTCCACCAAGTTTCGCTCGTCAGAAACGAACGTAGCCGGGCCGGATCCATAGGGAGGACTTTTGATGCTGAGATCACTGTCTGAGGGTGCTCTGTGTTTACGACTGACTAGACGTAGACTCCAATGATGCGCAGGGCGCGAAGGTAGAGTGTGTGAAGCATGGCCGAGGTGCGGGTTGAGTCAAAACCTGTCGGAATTCAGTGGTATTGCGGGCCGCAGGAACGGAAGGAAACACTTGTGTCGCCTTCTGACATCATAATTACGACTTGAAGCAGGAGCACTGAGGAAGGTGTGACCTTTTCTCCCAACTGCCACTTTTCACTTGGAGTTCACAGTGCAGGCTTGGTAAGGGAGGACCGGTTGCCACATCAGCCTGGTGATCATCTGACATGACAAGTCGTAGAGCTTTGGCGTCCCACAGCTCTGTTATATTTACACAGAGCGGCTACATTGTAGGACTGTCAAAAGCTTGATTGGACTGAACTGAATCTAAGACTGTGTATCACAAAAGGATGCCTCCTTAAATCAAGAGTAACAGAGATCAGAGATGCACCGAGGAGCATCACACCTGTTACCAAGCTTTTTGCTGGCTTCTACGGTGTATCATCAAAATCCCGATATGAACTTCCCCTCCGCCTTCCTCTTCCCTTTTGACTTTATTTTTAATATTATCGTCCACAGCAAAGTCTGCAGCACCCTCAACAGAGACAATTTTCATCATGCAGCTGTTTCATTACTTCTCTCTTAGCTGCCTTCTGGAGCTTGCCTTTTCCATTCCAATAGCTTGTATCACAGAGAAACAGAGTTCATTATTGGGTACCGAACTGTTCTCCCGGTCAGTACCGAATGTGTATGTACTAGGATAAGTCACTGACAAAAAGAACACATCATAGGATCAAGCTGCCAGATACAACAAGGCCGGGACGCTTACTGATGAACCGAATCGAGCGGGTACACAGATTGGACAGGGGGTGTACACAAGCGCAAAGCCTGGTGGCTGGCTGTCATCACCAAAAAACTGGTAAGGACGAGGCCCAGCACCACTCTGTCTCCACTCATTCTCATTTTGTACTAAAGGTGTCTTCAAAGGCACTGCGTGATCTACGCCGACTTGGATGCAATGAGCCGCGTCTCAAAGGTATGGGTGCCTGAAACGTTTGATGGGCTGCAACTCTAGTACGACAATGCCGCGATCGATGAATACATCAAATACTTTGACGTGGGATGGGATCCAGCCAAAACATTGCGGTTGTCAATCATTGACAGTTTGCAGCCTGAGGGCCTGCAGCTACTTATTCCTCTAGCATTGCTAAATTCCAATGGGGGCGCTATGGGAATCACAGTTCATTGCGTGGAGAATCTGGCCGGTTTGGGCACCTATGTGGTCAATTACGACGATTGGCAGGACAATATCGGAGGCAGCAGAACAGTCCCTTCACTAAACCCCTGGTTGTAGATTGAACTCAAGGGCCTGAGTCTTGCTTATCAAATCAAGTGACGTATCGTATACCAACCTTTAAGCATAGATACCCTCTTAAATCAAAGTGTCATGAAATGATTGAGACCAAGGGACGTCATCCTGTACAAGCACCATGCAGACGGCGCGCAGTGGCGCGTGCACACCCAGCTTGACATCTCAGCGGTTGGCGGGGGGGTTCAAAGAAAAGGTGAGAATGAAGATGTGGATTGAGAAGCTACCTTATAGAGTTGTCAACTAAGGGATGGATCAATCGAATTGTATTCGTTGAGGTGTCTAATTCTGAAGGACTAAGGGTGCACGTTTTTGTGTTTTTTTTTGTGTGAAGTCGCGTCACTCTCCATTCAATCCAATTCAATTCAATCAAACAAACATACATAAAGTACACTTCAATCACTCATCATCAGTCAATCAATCAACCGATCAATCAATCCAGAGCAGAGCAGTGCAGAGAAGAGACGCACACGACAAGCTGATACCAGCCCCGCCGCTTGACAATGGCTTCCCGATCTCCATGTCCCGAGACCACCACCACCAGCGAGAACCACAGCGATGCTCCTGCTCCTCGCCCAAACAAGAGGAAGAGAGAACCCCTGGGAAAGCTACCGCCAGGCTGTCTCAACCAGAAGCAGAAGCAGATGCAGCATAAGAAAGCAGCAGCAGCAATCGAGCCGCCGCCCAAGAAATCCCAACCCCGACCCTGACACCGGCAGTGGAGGAGCGGTGCATCATCATCATCATCATCATCACCATTACTATCACAACCACAGCCTGGCTCTCTCAATAGCGTCATACGCCAGAATCCTCGCACCCGCCTGTACCCCCCTCCACATCTTTGGACCGCGCGACATGTCGAGCTCTTGGGTGCCACCTTTGTTGATGTCGATATCAATCACACCGATGACAACGACAGAGACGATAGCCAGCCACATCTAGACCTACCACACAACGTCGCCGAGGTTGGCAAGCTGCGTGCCTATGGTGGGAACCCAACGAATGCCAGCCGCTTCCTCAAATCTATCCTCAAGAACTGGGGGTTCTGTCTTGACGCAAAGGACAAGACGACCTTGCCCTTCAGGTTTGGCCGCCACATCTGCTGCCACCTCCCCATCCAGACCCTCTGCCACAGCTTCCATCCACCACCCACCACGCCTACAGTCGCCATGGTCAACCTCTATCAAGTCACGAGCAGCAGGAACCTGCGCGTTGTCGATGCAAAGGCCGGTGGCCGCTGTGAAACCATACAATACCTGGCGCTGCCTTGCCCCCCTGCCAAGCGAGAGCCGTGTGTTCTCGCCGTTCTGCTTGCCCTTGCCGCCCATCTCTATCCGAGTTATAATGCAGAGGGTCTAGCTTATCCTCCCTCTGTGCAGGTGAGTCACTGTCTGACTTTTTACTGTTGTTACTTGCATTGCATGGACAGACCGACTGACTATGATTTATCCTCTTTGTCTAGGTCCACCTCATCGATACATCACCCGACCACCCATCCCGAGGTATCTATCTCTCCTCGGCCGATATCACACCTCAATCGGTCGCTAGTTTCCAACACCCCGACGACGTCTTCCTTCCCACCCCGAAACCCCTCAAGGTCCGAAGAGCCTGGCTGGACCTAGAGGGCTAACCCCGAGTCTTTCTTGCCAACATGTACAGTCTTCTTCGGCCTGAGTCAAACAAGGACATGACGGGGAGCATAGAGAGAGCCTCAACATGAAAAGGCGCCTACTGGTTTTACAGCGTATATCTCCATCCAAGTCACCTTGTATCTATTTTGCCGCCGCTTAGTGCATCTCACTTGTGTGGCCTTTTTGGCGCGTCTCTACCTTTGCCTCCATCTCCATCTCAGTTAGAATCCGGTTCATGTGTTCCATAATCAATACAAAGTCGCCTAGGTTCCTCCTTCATACTCTTGGGCTCGGCAGCGCAACCCTGACTCTCTGTTTACTTCTCCCAAGATCAACCAAGTGAGAAGCTATGGGTATTTCTTTTATAAATTCCATTGCTTCAACCAGTTTTCTACAAGATCTGGGGACACAGGTGTCAGCCGCTTCATAGTCTCACTATGCGCAATGGTATTGGTCTGATCCAGTGGACTTCTGTCGGGCAGGCTACTTGTGGCCTCCAAAAGCGCCGACACAGGTGTACTTCCATGTGACTGGCCGTATTTGCGCACTGCATCAATCCAGGCACCCAGCTCGACCGCTTCTACCATGACACCTGTTTGTTTAAAGTATGCCTGAATCGTAGGCACAATCTCGGACCAATGTACCGTTCGCGGGTTGACCAGGTGGTAAACGCCCAACTTGTGCTCATAGAGAGACGAGAGTCGGCTGAACAAGAGCTCAATGCAGATCTGGGCCGCCTTGTCCACGGGTACCCAGTCCAAATCGTCCCCGTACATGTTGGTGGTGGGGATCTTGCCGACGAGCTTGCTGGTGCTGAGGATGCGAGGCAGCCAGTCTGTCTCGTTCCACTTGCCTGCCGCCGTCGTCGGGCCGGCCACCTGGCCTACCCTGACAATGGTGACATCCACACCTACATCCACTGCTTTGCAGAGGATTCTCTCGCTCACGTACTTGCTCTCGGCATATCCCTGCGGAATGGGGGCAAAACTGTGTTCTGTATCTTCAGGGATACGCTCGCCGGCCAAGCCGTTGCTGGTGGGCTGATAGTCCTCCCAACGACCCGACACAGTGCCGATCGTGGAGACAAAGTAGACGTGGGCGTGATGCGCGCTGTGTATGCTAAATTCGGCGATATGGGCAACCGCGTTTATGTGCGAGCTAAATGACTCCACGGGGTACTGGAAGTTGACAGCCCAGGCGTTGTGGACGATGACATCGACCTTTTCCAGCAGCTCCCGGTACTTATCGGCCCCAAGGCCAAACCGTTCACTTCCCAGAGTGGTGTGCAGAAACTCGACTTTGCTCAAATCCGAGTTGAGGCCTTTGTCTTTCAAGCTCTTGAGAGAGCGCTCATGGGCATCTGCTGTCCTGTTAAAGCAATACACGTGCGCAACCCGATCATCGGAGACGAGTTTGCTGAGCAGATAGGTCCCCAGAGATTTTGTGGTTCCAGTCAGAACGACGCAGAGTTTCCCTAGATTAGATCTGAACGACATTGCTGACACACCGTTCTTGGAGCTGAGGCTATAGGAATTCGCCAGATCCGACAGTTTTTCCCGCCGCGTCCGAGTATCAACAGCCGGGGCGCTCGTGGTAAGCAGCCTTACAAGGTAGCGGCTCAGTTTCCGGATTGTTGGATGTTGGTAAATCACCTTTGGAGTAATCAAGTCTGAAGCAGAGATCCCGCTGTCGGATGAAACCGCAGGCTTTATGACCGCTGACAAGGACTTTGCTAGCCCCAAGGTTTGTAGAGAATCAACGCCATACGAGGTGAATTCAGCGTCGACATCGAGAATATCGTCTTTGAGATACGTCTGCAAACACTCCTCCACCAGGCCCTCCATTGTCTGCTCGTTGATTTGCTCGGGTAGTGCAACTGCTGCCGTGTCGCCCGCACCCTGATAGAGGACGCTAATCTCCTCGTCGTAAGCCGCGATGGTACGGCCACGGATGATGGTGCCCTTGGGAGCTCTGACGAAGGGTTTTCCAGGGGTGGCAACTAGAATCATGTTCTTGAAAACCATACCGGTCGCGGTTGACATGTCATTTGCCTCTTGCACAGTCGGCCAAATGGCGTCGATGAATTCTTCTGGTCGGTCGTGGTGGAAGACGCCGTCTTCGGGTTCAACTAGCAACGCCACCTGAAACCGCCCTTGGCCAACTACTAGCACACCCTTGACCAGAGGACTGCTCTGGATGTGCATCTGCATGGTGATAGGGTTGAACTTCTCCCCGTTGGACAGGACGACGACGTCGTCAGTCCGGCCTGCGAACCTCCATAGCTTGTCACTCCCAGGCGTGCGAGTAAACAGATCTCTTGTGCGCCATAATTTGAGTTCCGGAAACGTGAGGAAGATGGCATGAAGGTTGGCCTTTTTGGGATCCCGACGTAGGATTGCCTCGTAAACACCTTCTTGCTCAGTTGGCTCCATCCTAAGCAGGCAAATGTCAGTGGGCGACCAGTGAAATGGCTGGGCAGCGAAAGGGTTGGGGCTCATACTCAAGTCCATAATAAGGGTTCCATTCGAAGGACAGCCAGTCCCGTTGAATCAGTGTCGGTATGGCGGCCATCTCGGTATTTCCCATGAGTTGGACAAGCGTCGTCACCGCGTTTACTGCATCACCAGCCGCTTTAGGGGTAGGGCCGCCTCCGCTAAAGACGTATTCGACCGAGGCCAACCTCTCCAGCGCTTTCTTGGAGGACGCAAGGTCTTCTATATAAGACGGAGGTGCCCATAGGCACTGTATGTCAAACATGCTGGCCACCTTCAAGAACGTTGCGTCAATCAGCGGATGGTCAGGCGGGTGAATAACAGTGGTTGTTCCCTGGAAAAGATGCGAAGCAAAGTTCAGTACTGCTCCGGCCACGTGGAACAACGGGAATCCACTGTAGATGTAGCGGCCTTGTGTCAGCACCGTCCAGTTGCCAGGTTTGCGTCCTGGCGGGTGAGGAATAATCCTAAGGCTGTCTACAACCGCAAAGTAGCTGTGTTTGAGAGGAATTGGTTTTGGCATCCCGGTCGAGCCAGAGGTGTGGAACATTATGGCTCCTTGGTCATAGATATCGTCGTACGCCCGGTCGTATCCGAAAGCGCCTCGATTCCCACCAGACATGATATCGTCCAAGGCTGGGACCTGGAACACGCGCAACGAATCTTGGACATCTTCAATCTCAGAGACCTTATACTTCATGTCATCAGTGAAGAATAATTTGTTGCACTTAGTTTCACCGAGTAGGTAAACGTGTTCTGGTGTGGCGTTGCGTGGCGAGGGATTGAGTGTCTGTCGGGACCCATTCTCGTTAGCAAGTTTTCCAGCCTCGTGCTCGGTGCACTGCCAAGCGCAAACATACACAGAAACCACATTTGATGGCAGCAACCCAAAAGATCATATACCGAATATCCGACGTGCCAATATATGAAATGACCTCGGCCGTAGAGCTGGTGCCAATGCGGTCCTTCAGCCACCAGGCAACATTATCAACCGCACGTTCAAACTCGCAATAAGAGACATGGCGCCACTGTGTCAAATCAGACGAAGTTGCATATACTGCCAATGGAGTATTAGGCGCGGTGCGGCTAAGGCTGGTAAGCAAAGATGGGAGCAGCCGTCTCCCCACGGGGAGGAGGTCGTTTCCGGATGAAGAGGCCATGGTTGATGTATAACAACGGGGGAAGGGGGCACACAAAGTGTCTAGAAGTGGCATTCAATATGACCTCTCTAGTGCCAGCTACCATTGAGTTGGCTTGGCTGTGAGATTCGATTTAAACACATCTAGGTTGCGTTGAATGTGGGAGACGTCGTAATGGGACGGGAGCTTATCCTCCGTGCCTCCGCATCCTACAAGAACCTCGGGAAGACGGTGCTAGGACTATGTAACAGAACCCGAACTAATCGCCGATACTAGACTGGTTGAGGGCTTCCCGGAAGACAATGCCTCCACGTCCGGGGCATCCCGATGGCGTTTTGAGACAGCTCTCTGGGTTCCGAGTCGATGTGGGTTATCTAGAAGCCATAATAGTGAATGTGCCTGGCTTTATTTGTTGCCGCAGGCGTCTAGTCCGGTTCTTCAAATCTAATCCGATTCAATTTGCACCTTCTACAAGTGTGATTCCCACGGGGAAAGGTTTTGTCTCTGCAAAGTCGACAAGCGATATGGCTGATATTTTTACACCTCCCCCAGAGCCCAAGACAGAGTTGGGGCGACATCGGATCCTGAGCCCTTCGGCAGGCATTCGAGTATCTCCGCTGCAGCTAGGGGGGATGTCGATTGGAGATGCTTGGACCGCTGGCATGGGCAAGACGTCAAAGCAGGCATGCTTTGAGCTTCTTGACTCGTTTGTGGAAGCAGGAGGGAACTTTGTCGACACCGCAAATAACTACCAAGATGGTCAGTCCGAGACTTGGATCGGTGAATGGATGATCGAGCGCGGCAACCGAGAAAGTCTGGTTATTGCGACCAAGTATACTGCGCATCCCCACCTTCACGACCGCGGAAAAGGGCCTCATTCAGTCAACACATCCGGGAATCACAAGAGAAGCATGTTCATGAGCCTCAACGAATCCTTAAAGAGACTACAGACAGGATTTGTTGATATCTTCTATGTCCACTGGTGGGATTGGAGTACTTCGATTGAAGAGATTATGGATAGTTTGCATATCCTCGTCAGCCAGGGTAAGACTATGTACTTGGGAATTTCGGATAGTCCTGCCTGGGTTGTCAGTGCGGCAAACACCTATGCTCGTGCCCATGGTAAGACACCTTTCAGCATCTACCAAGGCCGCTGGAATGTCATGGCCAGGGATTTCGAGCGCGAGATCTTGCCTATGGCAGCCTATCACGGTCTCGCTCTGGCACCCTGGGATGTTCTAGGAGGTGGCAAGTTCCAGACGGAGCAAGCTCTGAAGGATCGTCAAAAGTCTGGGGAAGGACTCCGTGCCCTACTAGGCGCAGAGCAGACCGAGCAAGAGAAGAAAGTCAGCGCCGCATTAGCCAAGGTCGCCAAAGAACAGGGCTCTGAGTCTGTGACAGCGATAGCACTGGCCTACGTCCTCGCAAAGGCCCCCTATGTGTTTCCCATCATGGGCGGCCGCAAGACCAAGCACTTGGAACAAAACATCAAGGCTCTTACCCTAAAGTTGACTGACGACCAAGTCAAGTATCTAGAGAGTGTGACACCGCTGGACGTGGGCTTCCCAGGCAACTTCATTGGCACTGACCCGAAGTCTGGAGGGACTGGGGGGTTGACTGGAAATTACTCTCACCTGTCGTGGGTGCAGTCTCCAAAGGCCATTGGCAGAGAGTAGTGTACTTAGTTGATCGGTAGTATGGTAGTAGAATCTGATGAACGCGGTTTCCTCGCGATAAAACGACGAAGCATCAGCAGTAGACTACATGATAACCCCATCCGGTTGAAATATGTAGGTGATAACAGATCAGACCTCTCTTGCCCAATATAGACATACCCTCCGTGCAAATTTGTCCATACGTATGAGGTACCCACCTATTCAATAAGTTGTTTCTCATTCTACCTGATAAGTCCAAGCCAAGTACACTGTAGATTAGACACAGTTAAAGAGACACAGTAAACACAGTACCCGTGTTCCATAAATTGTTATCGTGGATCTATCAACCCTCCCCCGATCGCAAGGCCTATAAGGCACCGATCCTTGAGGTTATTCCGATTGTCATATACAAAAAGTGGTGGCCCCCGTTACTTAAACATTAGTGTAGACAGAAGAAATCAAACGCTATTGCACCAACTTAAACATTATCTGTGTGAACTAGTTGGCCTTAATTTGGTTCGACCCTGACCTGGGGAACGGCCCAGTCCTCGGAGCACAGAAGAAAGACATCAAGCCAACGAGGGTCTCTCGGTTTGTTAATAGGATCTCCGACCTAGTCCTGAATCGCCACTTTGGACCTGGAGACACAACTGGGCAAATCAAGATGTGGACCCTCTCGTTAGGTTACGCCTCGGAGATCCGCTGCGACGGAATGTAGTAGAACCCGGGATTCCGGAGAACCCAGAAACACGGCACCGTTGTACACAAGTGCATAGCATTTAAAGCTTTAGGAAACCTTCACACCAGCTCCTCTCATTATATTTCAGACTCTCCTTCCAAAGTTTGTTGTCTAGGAATCAGGGCTTTTTACCACTTTATTCTTCTCCCCGTTGGAAAATCATCGCAGCCCAATATGTCGCCCCACCTTCCGACCCATGAGGACGACGAGTCCACCAGCCTCCTCAACGGCAACGTCCGCCGCAACTCTGTGCAGATGGCTAGGGGAGACGGCATGGTGTCGTTGTGGGCGGGTATTGGCCTCCTCTGGACCATCATGACAGTTCAGGCTTGGATTCGTTGGATATTCTCCGACGAGTTTGCTCCTGCCCCTCTAGACACAACAGACGAGTACCCTCTGTATAGAAACGTAGGCCTTCGCCTTGTAGAGGCTGCGTCGACAGCAATCACCATTGGATTTACCTGGTTCTTTGTCATCAGCCCCATACGGGTTGGCAAGCTCAACGCGGCACCAAGACAAAAGCGAGAACTCAGCCTTGACGGCAAATTTGTCATTGGAGGGCTTTTGACCTGGTCGTCAGATGCCTTCCTCAACTGCCGCCAATACATCTTTGCCTTCAACGCGCACAGCGTCAACTTGGGCGTCTGGACTCCGTTCATGCCCTTCGAGCGTCCCGGCGGACCTTCGCGCTACGCCGAAAGCCTTCTATGGGCGCCTCCGATGTACATCTACTTCTGCGCCGGCGTCGCCATGATGTCGTGCGCCTGGACTAGGATCCTGCGCCGCCGCTACCCGGACCTCTCGGACTCCACTGTCACTGTTCTGGTCCTGATCTTCAAGTTTGTCTTTGACTTTGTTGTCGAGAACATCATCATTCGCTGGACGCACGCCTACAGCTTCACCAAGACATATGGCCCCCTCACGCTCTGGGCCGGCGAGGTTCATCAGTTCCCAATTTACGAGTCGGTATTGGTGGCCATCTTGGGTACACTCTTCACACACCAGCGTATGAAGGCCTTGGACGACCCCGACCACGTGAGCCCCGTCGAGAAGGGTTACGAGCGCTGGCCGGAGTACCTGCAAGGAACCGTCAGGCTACTAGCCGTGATTGGCTTCTGCTCCCTTTCCTGTGTCGTTGTCTACCACTTCCCTCTGAACTGGCTCGGCACCGCCGCGGGCACCAGCTATGCCAAGATGCCCAGTTATCTGAAAATTGGAAGAGGTGACATGTGGGATGGAACACTCGTCAATAGCACCGTCTTCTGATGGCGCACTTGAAAGAGACACAAGTCTCTGCTCTGTACATTTCTCGGAGGTGAGCAGAATTTGGGGTGTTCAGACAAACATCCTACCGAGTGGAAGTCTGGAGAGTGCGGCTGCGAAGTTTTACACCTGCTACCTGCATTGATCGTCCAAGGCTGCATGAATTATCCCTCTTGAGATCATATTCACGCGCAATGCATCCTTGTACAGCTAAATTGATCAGTTAGCAGGCAGCCTGCCCTAAGAGACCCGGTCTTGATATTTCCTTAGAGTTTGAAACAAGCGTACCGGAGAGTATATAGGTTCACATCAACCACACGTGCGAGCTTGAATGCTCGATGCACTCTCCTTGAACAGTCGCCAAGGATCTGATTGCTGTACAAGAAGACTGAAGTGCACTTATGGAGGCATTGCCAATACGAACGGGTCTGGGTCGGTAGATCCGTCGCTGAGATCGAGATTGCACGCTGCGTCATAAAGGAGAGACTGCCAGCCCCAGTCTCTCTGGGCCACGAACGGCTGGTGCTTGTATCCTCCTCGAGCTCCGATTGGCTCAATACCCAAGTGGCTACTACCGGCCGGATAGATCCCTCATGGCTCTGAAAGAACTACCGTATCGATGGAAAGTAGACAGTACCAAAATGACAAACGCGTGCACATCGTTGAATCACATCGGATTCGCCTGTCGTTGAGCTCAAGTCAATTCGCTTTCTCCGCTGCGTGCACTGGGTTCATACAAAGACTGGCCGGCTCTTCCGGGAGCACAGATACAGGTTCAGAGTGAGAATTTCATCCCCCCTTGTCAAAACTCCGCGTCCCGGAACATGGCACGTTTCGCTTTCCGGAGCTTCTCCTGGATTTGTCTTCATTTTAGTGTTCGAGAACTTTACACCCCATCCAGTCCTATTTGCGCTCATGCGAAGTCATACTCCTTGTTCATCAGAGAACCCAACCGGCGGTTCACCAGCCATACTAATTCTCTCCATGAGAAGATTCCTCCAGTATGATCTCACCTAGCGATCTTGTCGTTATTATTGCGGCCGGTGGCCATCAGGCCACCTACATTATCCCTAACTTGTATGGCAAGGTCCGCCTCCGTCTTGTGGTCCGCACCGGGAAGTCTGCTCAGACTCTCGCCACCAGATGGCCGGAAGCAGAGGTAGTCACGGCAGATCTTCAGGTCCCAAAGGACTGTGAACGGGTTCTTGACGGGGCGAGCACAGTATATCATATTGGACCGTCTATCCACCCCCATGAGAAGGAAATCGGACTTTACATGATCACTGCGGCAAAGCGGATTTCTCGAAAGCCTGGATCTGTCTTTAAACACTTTGTCTGTGCGACTGTGGTCGACACCCAGCTTAGAAAGATGTACAACCACGACGACAAAAGATACATCGAGGAAGCCCTAATCATGTCTGACCTGGACTATACTATCATGAAGCCGGGAGACTTCTTCGACATGGCGTTTCCAGTGAGCGTCTGGCTGCAGATGGAGAAGCCAGTCCGTCACGCTGTCACAGCCCAGCAGGCGCGGTCTTCCTTTGTCGTGCTTAGAGACCTAGGAGAGGCTGTGTCAAAGGTGATTCTTGAGCGGGAGCCCCATTACCAGGCCCAGTACCCTCTTGTTTCTATTGGTCCTATTACGTATGGGGAGGCCACTCTAGAGGTCGGCAAGGCCATCGGCAAGGAGATCGCCATCCAAGAGTACTCGATAGAAGAGGGTGCTGGTGTGGTCCTGGACTCCATCTTTGGAAGCCGAGAGAACGTGGATCCGGACACAAGGGATAAAATGGAGATCATGATTTACTTCTACAGGAGGAGAGGCATCATGGAAAACAAAAATGTCCTGGGATGGCTGCTTGGAAGAGAGCCTACCTCCATTCAAGAATACGTGCGACAAGAGCGAGACCAGCCCAAGGACGAGAGTTTCAAGGCTGCGTTCAAAGCTTGATCTTGCATCACTACCTAGCTATCTAATTTTGTATAAAACAAGTTCTTGGACGTATTTTCGAGAGTGTACTTTTGCACAGACCTAAAGGTGATTAAAAAAAACCATTCAAAGTGCTTCCTTTCATGTACGTAGAAAACGGATCGCTAGTGCGCCGCAGGTGGCTGTATGGGAGCAGTATTTGATCCTCGAGTCTATTCCGCTGTTGACTATCAACAGTTTCAGCTGTTCAAGGAAACACGCACATCTTTCCTCTCGCGTATGTATACAGTCATTGATACGACTTTGTGGCTGCTTCACAGAAGCCCCAGAATCTCTCAGCACCTCCGCTGCCCCCCTCTGCCTTTGACTTCATCGCAGCTGCCACGTCATCCTTGAAAAGACCAAATCGTCCCCAGGGCATTATGTAACGGCCGCCGTCCTCGACCCTCACATCTCGACTAAGCCCGGCAAAAATTTCCGTGTAAGCACCGTATACAGGATCGTACAAGAAGCAGGTGTTCATGATCCACACCATCAAAGATGACATGTGCCGCATGAGGTCGGTCTTCAAGTGGCCAGGGTTAATAACTACCGAGACAATGCCCGCGCGCTTGTTTCGGCGCGCGTATTCTGAGGCGAGAAATGACATGCCGACTTTGGATTGGGAGTACAAGTCGAGCTGCGAGGCCTTGCCGGAGTCATTGTTCATGTCATCCCAGAAGATCCCTCCAGGAGGACCGGTGTGCGTCGCAGAAGAGGACACCCAGACGACACGGACTGCCCCTGGGGCTTCTGCAGCGGCCGTCTGTTCAAGAATCGGGGTCAAGAACTTCGCGAATAAGAAGTGCCCGATGCAGTGTACCCCCAGCTGTTGTTCGTAGCCCTAGCCGTAGAATGAGTAAACTGTTAATACTGGAAGATGCTGTCGAGTTATGATTCAAAGCTGGTAGGGCGTCCCTCTCACCTGGACTGTCTTGCTCCCTGCTGGCGGAACCATGACACCTGCATTGCAGAATAAAACATCCAGCCTATTTTCCTTAGCTATGAATTCCGCGACAGCGGGCTTAATCGTAGCGAGATCAGCGAGGTCGAGGCTAAAGAAGCCGAGTCGACCCTGCGACTCTGGATACTCCTGCTTGAGAGCAGCAATAGCCTCTTCCATTCTAGGTCTATTGCGCCCTGCAATGTAGACATTTCCACTCTTGGCATAGACCAGCTTGGCAGTTTCGAATCCGATTCCCACAGCACCGCCTGTGATCACAAAAACCTTTTCAGGCATGGAAATGTCAGCCAGACGCCTCTCCTCTCGCCTACAACCTGGGATAGCCCGGTTCAGCTGCCACACTCGCCTTGCTAGAAAGGTCAGGTAAATCCTTGTCTGTAAATTTGGGCCCGGGAGGGAAAAGTTCGCGAAGGAATTGCCATGAATAAATCCCGCGCATCTTGACTGTGCGACTGTTTGTCCACAAGCTGGGTCGTCAAGCTTCAGTGGAAACAGTGTCGGGCCAAATCGTTCAGCTAGATAAACGCCGCCGTCTGCGTCTCTGAATTTTGCGCCGGATGTCATTTTGCTGTGAGGTTCACTGTAGCTTGTGTTATTTTATGTTTTCCGGCTCTAATGACCGGTCCACCAAACCATCCGGTGTTCCGGTCGCCGGAACCTGAACATGATTTATTCTCTGAAAGCCAGTCGTCCATGATTCATCAATTGTATCGTTGCAATAGGTCTTAAACATCATCTCTATCCCTTGTGGAAGGAGTAAACGTAATGCTTACTACCCAACACATCTCGTACGTGTATACGGAGCCCGGCACCCAGCCGACAACCTCCCTGCGCATACCTAGCAATTATCTACGGCACTACGCCGACCGCCCAGGGGTCCAAAACAGGCGAACACGGCGACTACGACAACAGCCCCTTGAATGCGATTAATTACCCCTAGCTCCATGATTGAATGACAAATAAAAAGGCATACAGTACTGTGGTTAACACAGAACATTGAAGTGGAATCCACCTTATTTTCCCCACACTGTAAGGGAAATAAACGTTCGGGACCACGGAACAGATGGTTCCGGCTAAGAGCAGCGAGCTAACCAGGTGCCGATTTCTCCTAACCAATTGAAAAAGACATTACTTGCGCGTGTGTCGAGGAATAGGATGAATGCGAAAGACAGAGCTACGATAACCACTACCTTCAGTAGAAGAGAAAGATAAGGGAAAGAGAAATATCTACTGTAGTACAAATCATGTCGTGCTTTATAGGAAGTTGGTTGATATACCAAGAGGAAGACAGATCCAGCATTAAGTCACGAGTGAGAATAAATAGTCATCGCCCATGGAAAAACCAAAATCGTATTTCAGCTACTGATGCCATAATCTCTCCGAAACCTGTCTCAAGTTTCATCGGCGGAGTTTACTACACTGAACAGCGGCCACCTCTCCGTTCCTAGTACATAGCACTGTGCCATCTGTCATGACCCGGCACATATGGACGTCACTCACCGTTACCCAGTCACCTGGTAGAATATAGTGGGCTTCTATAGCTCCTGGGTTTGCCCCAAATCCTTTTCCTCCTGGTCGTTTCAGTCTCCCTCCAAGAATCGCTGCTATGATCTGTGCATTCGGAACTCTCGGCAAGACGGACGAGAGCATTCGGTTCCCATACGTTTCCGTAGCTCGCGCGTATGTCATAGACTCGTCGGGAATCGGCACTGAAGTCGACACCTAAAATCGCGTCTTGGGAGGATGGTTGATAGAGAAGAGATAGATCATCAGTCGTATAAACTTTTATGGTTCCAACTGTGTCACCAGTGGCAACCAGAGACCCGTCAGCCGAGACGCACAGCGAGTGGGCGCCGGCTGAGATGACATCAGTTGGCTCGTCGTCACAAGGGTTCCACTTGAACAGGATGCCGTCTCGTTGCAAACCTATAACCTCACCGCTAAAAGGATGCCAGGCGAACTGTATGATTTCACCCAGCGCATTTTCCTGAAGTATGATGGTGAAGCCATCAGGAGCCATGTTGCATCGACCCATCGTAAACTTGTCGCGTAGGTGCCAAACGGTAACCGGGTACCCACGGTATCCAAAGGCAATCATCTCTCCGTCAGGGCTCAGCGCGGAACAAATTGGTGCATTGAGGAGAGTATGACCCGAGGTCTCTTGTTCAATGTGTCCTTGACACACCCACTCCACTATATCAGCTCCGAAATTGAACGATCTGACAATGCGATCCTCTCCAGCGACAAGAACCGTGTTTGTGTTTTCTACAAAGATAACACTATGTGGCCTTGGTCTATTGGAGGGATTTTCAAGTGTCGTGAGACATTCGCCAGATGGTATGTCCCATACTTTGGTTGTTTTGCGGCCGTAACTGAGCAAGTGTGTGTTGGTCTTGTCCACTTGTATTCTATGCACGCGCTCCCCGTGATTCAAGCGACGCTCTTCTTCAAAAGAGTAAGCACTAATTAAGAATACACAGCCTGAGCTTTTTCTGTTAGTCAAGACGGCGATGCGCGAGCCAGCAGCCAACACGGCCGATGTCATCAGCCCTGATTCGAGTAGTAAGCGTGCAAGGCAATCATCCCAAACGTTCCTGTTGAGACCTGAAATGGAGAGGGTCTTGGACTCCCTCACCCCGAACTGTTGGAGGACGGCTGACATTTCTGGACAGAAAGGCGGTATCAACTTGTAGATTGCATCAGGCCTCTTGAGAAGAGGTGCACCGAACTTCCCAACCAGCTTTACGAGATCTGTTGCCCAGGCGCTGAGGACCTCTATTGCCTGACGGTGTAGCAGGGACTCATGGTCATTAAGCCTTTTGAGCTTTTCGACGACTTCGGTTATCTGCCGAGATGCGACTACAAGTGCTCTAAGTTGTTTCGTCTCTGCAGCTGCTTGTATCCAGGTCAGTACTGCAGGCCCCTGAAGAAACTTCAGGAGAAGCCCAGTGTTCTGGCTGCCGGTCGGAGATCCACGGGACAGATGATAAGCCCAATCGCTTGCCGCGTATGCCAACAGGGCAGGAGGCCGACCTTGAGTGATCTTGGCCCGAAGTATGTTGCCCATCAGACGCAGAACACATGTTCGGAAGAGTCTGTTGTTGATAGCCTTCGTATCCAAGACGATAGAGCTTGATGTGGGACCTGAGCGACACAAGTATTCTCGAGCAGTCTGGTGAATCAATGAAACTCTCCCCTCCTGATCGACCACGACGAGTCCACCGCAGAGATCTCCAATTGTGCGGTGAATCTCCAATATACCGTTATCTTCAAGTGCATCGTTGAGCTCTTTGATGGATAGAGGCCGTCGAGCAAATGTTGCCCAGGCAAGGATCTTCTCGCCAAGCGTACCATAAAGCTCGCTAGGGCCAACTTGGACTGCACTGGCCATACGCTCGTATATTGCCTCCATACCAGGAGGCAACTCCTCCAAAGTGTTCTTACCTGAGCTTTGGTCTCACTAACCATAGAGTGCACTGCTCAATTCTAGTCGATCTCTTCAATACTCGAATGTCGAATCCGGCTCGTACTTACACAGTAGGCAGGACGAGATGCGTGCTCGGGGAAATTCATGACTTTTACATCACATTCGTCAATGTTGACAGAAGGTAACGGGAAGACAAGGCGATCAAGGCCACTCGCTTAACGGAAATCAGGCATTCGCACAACCGACCCATGCATTTCCACCCATGTTGGCAATACTTCCTGCATATACCCCTCACTTGCATGCACTTGGACCTCACTGGTTGGGGATGGAGCTGATCCGCTCAGGATGATGTTTCTACAACCTTCGCTAATTTCTGAAACGCCATGCAGCAAGGCCCCACTCCTCACAAAAGGTCGGCGCTTACAGCCTTTTAATAATACTTCGACATCTGTCGCTGACGCTATGTCTGGATCGCAAAGTATTATGCCTCGAGTGCAATAGGCTTACCAACTGTCGACAAAAACAGACCACGGCTTCTTAACGAGCGGAGAAGACAACGAACAACAAGTATTCAGAATAATGGCGACAAAAGCCTTGGCGGATCCGATCAAGGCTCAGGATGTTCTTGCAAAATTGTCGGGCTCGTTTCCCATGGACGAAGCGGTAGTCGAAGGTGTGTTATAAACGCAATGATGAGACTAAACACGACTGGCTGACTGCAATGGGGACCGAAGCTTTGCCTCTAGGGAATAGCTTTGCTTCAGTGAGCCATTTCGGTACCAGCGCGTGGACGGTGACTGGCAAGGTCCTTGCCAAAACTCGTGAAGGGACGGATGCCGCCTACTTCTTGAAGGTAAATACCTGGCTCTCCTCGCACGACGTGTAATATGGCCTGAGAATATTGTGTGGTTGTAGATCGCGTATGGTGAGCATGGCGGTGTTATGCTCAAAGGCGAGTTTGAATCTGCGAAGATTATATACGGGCTCATGCCGGGGCTCATCCCCCAGCCCTTCGGGTACGGTAGATACAAAACTTCGAATCCTGTCGCTTACTTCTATTTATCTGAGTTCATCGACATGGACATCACTCCGGCACCGGATCCGGTGGAATTCACCACTCAACTTGCCGCGCTTCACAAAAGGAGCGGGTCGCCCAACGGCAGATTTGGCTTCCATGTCGTTACGTGTGATGGCAAGATGCCACATACCGTTGATTGGCAGGACAGTTGGGCCACATTTTTAGGGCGCCTGCTTCAGGGTGTGTGCAAGCTCGACAACTAAACTAATGGTGTCTGGCCGGAGATGCAGCGTGCCACGGAGCAGGTGGTCACGAGAGTGGTACCACGGCTGCTGGGCAACCTCCGCCACAACGGCGAACCCATTAGACCCTCCATCATCCACGGTGATCTGTGGGAGCCCAACTTAGGCGTAAACATGGAGACAGGGCAACTCGTCATGTACGATGTCGGCTCCTACTACGCCCACAACGAAATGGATTTGGGACAATGGCGGGCAGACTTTTGCTCACATCTCCGATCCAAGATTTACATTAGGCAATACTTGCGCAACTATCCCGCTGCTGAGCCTGCTGATGAATTCGACGACCGGAACAGGCTTTACAGTCTGAAAGGCTCAATCAACTACTCTGCGGGTCATCCAGGCTGTATCATTCGACGGACGTATGTCATTCCTTCACAAGATGAACCGACCAGACCGTCGCTGATAACTAAATAGAGCGTACAATAACATGTGCTATCTTTGCGAAAAGTACGCACCAATTGATGGAATAGACAAATATGATCCTCAAAAGGATCCGTCTGTTACTGGAGCTCGTCTCACGCCAACATTTGCTAAACCAGACCAGTACGCAGAGGATTGCCAGAGCCTGGATTGGACATAATTCTCATCTCCAAATAGACCCGAGAAAATCGACTTGAATGGATTCGTTACCTAGAGTAGTGTGATTCGTAGTTGTAGATCGTTATTTATCAACATGCATTTGACAAGTCCAGCGAGAATGATGACATCTGCAGTGACATACGAGCTTCATTCCAACACGCCTGCAATACTGCAGTCGTTCACATCAAGACGACTGTTATCACTATAAGGGATCACGAAAAGGTCAAGCGCGCAGCGATATCACTGCCATCATGTGCGGAAAAGACCAAAAGGGCATGGAAGCAAACCCTTCCCCGCCTCTGAATAACCTGCCGATCGCTACAATTACCCAGGATAACCCAAGTGATCCTCCGTACTCTATGTTTTCTTCAACAAGAATGACCTACCTCACGTATCTCTTAGGCATGATCATGCTTCTCTCAACACTCACATCTACCATATATGCGCCGCTCATCCCAATGCTTACGCGGCAATTCTCGGTTTCGATCCAGGCGATCAACACAACCGTCACAATATATGCAGTCTTTCAAGCCCTGTCACCTGTTTTCTTTTCGTCTCTCGCTGATTCATACGGTCGACGTCCCGTTCTACTTGGTCTTATGGTTCTATACTCCGGTGCTAGCATTGGTCTATCGTTCAACAACAATAGCTATACTGTTTTGCTGGCCATGCGGGCGTTGCAGAGTATCGGCGGTTCTCCCACGGTCCCGGTAGTGTACGGTATTGTGGCGGACCTTGTCCCTAGCTCGCAAAGAGGGAAGATTCTCGGTCCGAGCCTCGCTTCGGCGAATGCCGTTTGCGCAATCAGCCCAGTGGTCGGGGGCTTAATCGCTGAACAGACCACAGGATCGATCTGGGTATTCATTACTCTGTTAATTCTATCACTAGTGCTGCTGGCACTGACTGGAATGACACTTCCTGAAACTGCGCGGTGTGTCGTTGGCAATGGAGAGAAACCTGCGCATGGCATTTGGCGAACCTGGTGGTCCATTTTGCAGGATTCACGACATAAGACGCTTCGAACTCCATTGCCAGAAATTGGGCCAAAATCAAAGGAGGACAGGCGTCGAATGGCCAAGTCTTTCAAAGGTTTTCGTATCCTTCCGGATCATATTGTATCCTGACGCCGCGGCGGTGCTTTGGATGATATCAACATCCTACTCCGTTTACTATACAATCCAAGCCGCCGTTCCAGTGATATTCGCCGAGGTCTATAGATACAACGAGCTAAAGATAGGACTGGCCTTGTTGCCAGTTCTTGCCGGTCTAACTGTCGGGGGACTGGTCGCTGGACGACTTATGGATCGAAATTATGAAGCAGTCGCCAACCGATTGTGCGAGGATGGAGGAGACGCTCAGCATCACCAGCAGGAGTTTCCGATTGAAAAGGCTAGGTTTAGGGGCTGCCTAGTTATCCTCCTTGCCGAAGTGGTCCTGATCACGGGATATGGCTGGAGCGTCCAGTATCATGCACATCCTGCAATCCTGTTTGTGCTCGGGTTCTTTGTCTGCAGCACCTCGACTATTCTGACCCACACGTCCAATGCTCTTCTTATCGATATATTTCCTGAAAAGCCGAGCACAGCTTATGCCTCGGGGCAGTTGATGCGTTGTGGATTCAGTGCGGTCTCAGTGATCGTACTCCAGCCGATCATCGATGCTTTGGGGCGAGGTTGGTATTTTACAGTCTTTGCACTCTTCCTTGGACTTAATGGGCTCGGTTCTATTCTTATTACCCTGATGAAAGGAAGGCAGTGGCGTCAAAAGAGGCAGATGGACTAGTTGAAATATTCCTACAACCTCAGCATTGATCCTTGTCAGATGGCCTGCATTGATTTTCTCAGCCTCCATCTCCCAACTAGAGTTGAAAAGCGCCCGGTACTAAGTTAATTACGCCATCAAGTTTCCTGTTCCACACGGTCCATAATCATTCTCCATCTAGATGCAAGTTCGGCACCGATAGCTTGTTCGAGCGACTCTGCCTCCCTCCCAGTTGGCCCGTTCTCAAAATTAAACAAGGGGCCAAAACTGCTGCTGTCTCTCTTCATCGGCTTCCAAGGTTGCTTTCCATAGCAGAAGTCTAGCCACGCGCCCCTGATCTGGCCCACACTCTGAGCGTGGCGAACAGCTAGTTCCTCAGGGACCTGGTCCTGCGCCACGTTGAAGACAAACAGGTCGTTCACTGCATGGTTTGATTTTCCGTATGAAAGTGCCCATTTCGGATACGGGTTACTCAACCGTAAGTTGTACACAAGAACGTCGCTCGCGGTATGATTCAGGGCTATGTGCAGAGCAGGAAGGCGAAATGCAATGTCGGCCAGGAGCTGCGCCCATTCCTGGAGTGCCCGAGAGGGAGTTTCAAGCGCCCCGGTGAGTTTGTAGGCTGCCACAATATCCTGAAAGCCGGAAGGAAACGATTTGATGTGAGAAACCATGCCGTTTGACACGAAGAAGTCGCTCGCCTTCGCTAACATTTGCGAGTCCGGAAGGGCTTTGCCAGTGAGGAAGTCCATCATGACCGCTTCAGTCAAATCGGCCTACAAGTCGCGGTTAGTTTACTTAAAGGTTACATTTGAGAACGGGGCTTCCGGTGGCAATCAGCCTTTTCTGGTGGATGTTATCGCTCACCTCAAAGTCACAAGAACCAACCATTAACTCAGGGGCGTCTCCATGATACACATCCTTGATATCGCTGATCCGCTGTCCCGCAATCCAGTCGCCGTCAATGAACGGATGGCATATGTCAAGAGTGACCGGCCGAACCATATCTTGGATGGGCAAAGACTGCAACAATAGAACAGAGTCTGACTCGGTCCCTCCAGAAGATGACCCAGCCCTCTCTACATATTTGTCAAATCGCCATTGATGGTAACCCACAGGCATGGGCCCGATTCCGGTCAGTGTTCCGCTGGAGAGGATGGCTCTTCGAAATTTCCTGCGCGGAAAAGTGGTCAGGTAGTGTGCAGAACTGCCGCCGGCGCTTGTGCCTTGGATTGTCACGTTGTCGGGGTCGCCTCCAAACCCGGCAATGAACTTGGCGCACCACTCCAGTGCCTGCCTTTGGTCATGGAGACCATAGTTACCGACCGGCTCCCCAAGGGCCTGATTGAAGGCTGTCAGCTCTTTTGAAGCTAGGAAACCCAGCGGCCCGACACGATAGTTGCAGGTGACGATGATCAGGGGTTGCCCGCGAGCAATCGCAGCGCGCTCCAGCTCGGTACCATCGTAGATCTCGCGTCCGGCGACCTGGATGCTCTGACTGCCACCCACAAAAGCTCCGCCATGAATGAAGAACAGGACTGGAAGCTTTGAGCTGGACGGAGTCTCCACTGCAACACGAGGTACGGTGATGCTCAAGTTCAAGCAGGCAAATTCGTCTTGAACGGGTTCTTGGAGGACCGGCCAGTCGTTAGGAATGCCTCCGTCCCAGTACGGTGGGAATGGTAGGACAGGCTGTGGGCAGCATGGCCTGTAGAAAGGGTTAGACCAAGCTTGGAAGGGCTACACAGCGAATGCATTGGATCACGACTTACCCCGGCTGCCTTGCATCAAATGGAAGTTGGGGCAAACTTTCCCTCAGCTGAGACTGCCTGAAGCGTCCGGGTATATCAGCAAAAGGAAGCCCCCGGAACTGAACGACATCATCGCCTCTGGCGAGGCCGATGATCTCACCCAGGCTGTCGTGGTGATGTCGGTACTCTGGAAAAGGAGCCATCGTGTTGTACATGCAGGCTGTTATGCGGCGACGTGCCTTGGTGTCTTCGCGAGGGTAATGCTCAAGGGCTAGAAGGGAAAACTATGGCACCAATATTCGACTCTCCGGTCCTTGCTTCCTTAGCATTGAAAGCTCTGTGCGAACACTTATGATCGAATCGGAGAGGTGGCCCTTGACGGCAAGTCCGTCACATTCTCGACGGGATGGCGTGGGCCAGACCCTGCCTGTGGGGGAGGGGAATTTGCCCAATGTGGACAATCACCGCCCCACACACACAGGCACGCGCGTGGACGGGGAGTGGAGGGCGAAAAGAATGAATGGGCTCGCCACCTGGCTCTGGACTAGAGTACCTAGGGAGGTAGGGCTTTTCTCTACCCGACACCACTCTCCTCTACACCGAGAATTGGAGGCCATCACAAACTGGGACAATCGCCGCCCCAGCTCTCTCGTGAGGTGAAATCTCGAGACCGTGTATGTGTCGTGTCTCTCCACACCCCGCGTCCGGGGAGGGAAATACCACCATTCGGGGTAGCGGAATCCCTGCTGCTCAAGTGCTCCAGTCGCCACGGCATTTGCTTATATAGATGTGAGCAAGCATGCTTCCGGTCCCTGTGCAGACTGCATCTTGACCACTGCGCCCCAGTCACAGTTTCAGATTGTGGACATTCCCATTCCCTACAGCAAGCGGAGCTTAGCCAACTGATTCGCTACCTCATCCGATTCCTCCAGCTCTCAACATGGAGACAACTCAGCAACAAGCCCCAACAGGGCGGCGTGGACTGTCGTTTCAGCTCATCCACAACCCAAGGCTCGTCCTTTCTGGTGAGTTGCAAAGGAGCAGTCGACCAGTGCGGTGTCCACGATGAACTCTGGACAACTAACTCCATGCCACAGCTTTCCTCCTGGCCCTCGTCTTTTTCACGTTTGGCTATGACGGCTCCGTGATGGCGGGAGTTCTAGCTATGGCACCTTTCGTCAACGAATACGGCTCGGTGCACACTCCTTATGGAAGAATGCTTAGTGCAACGGATATCGGTGTTATCACGGCCCTGCCTATAACGGGCTGTCTCCTTGGCCTTCCTCTGGCAGCTTTTGTTGGCGACCGCTTCGGACGCAAGAAGACGCTTATTTTGGGCTGCATCATCAGTGCTATCGGCTCGGCTCTGCAGACTTCGGCGTACAGTCAGGCCCAGCTCGTTGTCGGACGCTGGATTGCGAGTAAGTATACGCTCGGTGCTCAGCCTTGCATAAGGGCTTCCAGTGGCCATGGTCATACCTTGCTAACGGCCGCGGCTTTCGTTCGCCCACAGACTCTGCTATCTTCATCTTCATTGTCATGGGTGCTACCTTTCTATCGGAGATCGCACCAGAGCAATACCGCGGCGCCATTGTCGGCTTGTCCATCGTGCTGATCGATGCTGCCGCAATCCTAGCTTCCGGTATCAATTGGGCCCTGAGCACCGACACGAGCCAATTTTCCTTTCGTTTCCCGGTTGGCCTGCAGATCCTCTTTCCCATGGTCATCGCCGTCGCAATGATCTTCGTGGAGGACTCGCCAACCTTCTATCTCACCAACAGCAAGGACGAGCAGGCACTCACGAGCCTACGCAAAATACGGCGTGGGTACTCCGAGGCGGAGATCGAAGGCGAGTTCGCTGCACTCAAGGCGCAGGCGGAACTGAGGCGGGAAGAGGTCCACGTTCCTTGGACTCACATCTTCAAGGGCGTTGACCTCCGCCGCACTTTGCTCTCGCTGTCCATTGGCAACATGCAGCAGCTGTCGGGTATCGCCTTTGCCACCAGCTATGCCACGATCTTCCTGCAAACAATTGGCAGCGACATCAGCGCCTTCCTGCTTACCTTGATCGGGGCCATCCTGGCCCTCAGCGGAGCTGTTACTGGAATATTCCTCGTCGACACCGTGGGTCGCCGCCCTCTGGCGCTGACGACATTCATCATCATCTTCATCATCAACGTCATCATCGGCGCCCTGGGTTTCACGGACTACGCGCACAACCCCAACCTTTCCCGAGCCATCGCTGCCTTCTGCATGATGTTCGCCTTTTTCTTCGCTGCCGGCTTTGGGCCCCTGACCTACATCGTGGCCAGCGAGATGCCCACCGCACGACTGCGTAACAGAACCAGCGCATTTTCCTTCCTTGTCTTGGCATGTTTTCAGACTCTCGTCATCTATGTTTTGCCTTACATTTCCAATGCCGATGCGTAAGGCTACACCCCGCCTCCCTTTTGCCTCGGAGATGCAGTGTTTGAGCTAACACTTTTGTAAACAGTGGGAACCTTGGACCGAAAACATACCTTGTTTTTGCAGGATGGATGTTCTTGTGCATTGTGATTACCTACTTCTACCTGCCGGAGACCAAGGGTCGCAGCCCCGCGGAGCTTGATGTTATGTTCGCAGCTAGAATTCCGGCGCGCCAGTTCAAAGGTAAGCTTCAGGATATAGGATACCATCCCTTTGACAGACCAACTCTTCATGTGCTAATACCTTTTGTTTTTTAGACTATGTTTGCAACATTAACACTGAGAGCTACATGGCTGAGCACAAGCATCATGTCGAACCTGTTGAGAAAGTTGCTTAGTGGTCTAGTAGGTGGCTCCAGAAAGAGAAACCCGTTGGAACGAAAGGGGTTACGCAGGTATCCGGTTCATCAGGTCAAGATAGAAATACTCGGTAGCTGAACGAAATAGTATTATTTCACTTCCTAAGTGCACAGGCATATTCATTCTATCAGTGAACATGAGCCCGCTCCATAACTGATAGATTTCTAATGCCTAGGCAACTTAAGGTCCGAAGATATCAAGCCCGCAGAGTTTCTGCATATATGGTCCGAGAAATGGGTGATCGCCTCCCATAAAAGAGGCAAAGATGGCCAGATAGCGATTACAGAGGCCTGCAGGCGGGCAGATTGGTTCGGGTGCGTCACTTCCTGTCCCACTGGATGCTAGAGCATTGCGTTTCCGGCATGGAGACAGAGTTTGAGCAGAGACATTTCCGTGACCCAGCGAAGGGTCGTCGTTGAGAGGCATGGAAGTGGGGTTTTGTCTGGTCTCCATAAACTCCAAGGCGCTGGTGATGATGTCGTACAGCTTCTCAGTCTAAGGATGAGACAGGTCAGCATCAAAGTCGTAGTGTATAGACCACTGGTCATGAGGACGAAGGCAAGATCATACCAATCCAATGCCGTGCACCTCCAAAGTGCTAATACCGAAGGACTCGCACGTCACTATGGCGTCCGTGGCGATGGATATGACGTACTTAGGGCGAAGTTCCTTGTCATTGCTCAAATCACTGACAAACCCGTGCCTAGATGCCAACTTCCATAGGACGCTGCGCATCCAATGGCGTGTGATGGTAATATCTGCTCTTTGGGAGTCCCAATTGTGAGCCCCTGAGTCTGGAATGGATGAGGCATAGCGCTTCAGCAAGGTGCAAACTGTAGCCGGGGATACATGACGCTCATTGCCTTCCACCCAGCACTCGTTCCTCCAACACTTCAGGAGTCTGCTGTCAACGAAGTCGAAGGACTCAATCATGTCCTTGAGGCTAGATACAGCTTGGAGATCCTGTAGCTCGTAGTTACTGAATCCCTGCTCCAGCATGCCTTGGATGACGTGGACATGGCCTCTAGTGAGTGACTTTTCGTTGAGTGGGTAGGCTCTCTGAATAGCATACACCCTGTGAAGACGGTCAGTTCAGCACATTGCTGCGTTCACTGACAAGAAAGACAGGACGAGATTCTCTCATACCGCTCAAGCAGTGTCAAACCCAGCACTGTCCTTAGCCTTCTGTCTCTCTCATCAGGAGCCAACCAGCCATAAGCCTGCAGCTCGCCAAGCTTCATTATCTCCGCCAGTGTTGAGGCTTCTCGTAAACGGAACTTTGCAGCATTGTGGTTTTCACGACAGAACTGACATGCAAACAAGAATATGCTCGTGAGCACATTCTCCAGAGTCGGTGCCTCGCCCAAGTTAGTCGAGCTGTGTAACTGAACTGCCCTCGACATTAATGTTTCGGCCTGCTCCTTTCGATTGGGAAGGATCGTAGGGCCTGATCTGTGGCTGGTTTGGAGCAGAGTCAGGGCGCAGATGGCGTGTATGAGTGCGTTGAAAGAGATGTCGTGTTCTTGTCGTTTGAGACCCAGGTTGTCTAATAAGTATGAGCGCTTGAAGAAGGGCATGGATGGATGAATATGATCGAGAAAGATGCCGGCCAGCACTCCCAAGACTCCGTCATCATCTTCGCTCGGTGATAAATAGAGACCCGTTTCTTGCGAGAAGCCGGTTTGTGGCAGCGACCCCAGATCCACGTGTGCGCAGCCATTGTCGAGGGGAAAGGAGTTTGTTAATGGAGTCAGAAGTTGGTTCCAAACGTCAAGAGCACAGATCCCGTCGGCAATGGACTGAAAGTCCGCATCGCTAGAGACTTGGTTTGCTTGCGAAGCCTGCTGTTGAGTTGGTCTAGTCACGTCTAAGGCCAGGCATCCAGAGGTCTGGGCAACCATTTCTTCCGGGGACAGAACGTATTCCATCTCGCATGGTGAGTTTGTCGCCCACTCAGGTTGACTCGAACCTGCTTCGACGCTGTGCAGACTTGTAGGGCTCTCGCTCTCATCTTGACGGAGATTGTCACTTTCCGTTCGGAGCCACGACGGCTGACCTCCCCGCTGTCTAGTAGGCCTTCTATTCCATCATTCAGCCGCACGCACATGGGGGAAAAAAAGGAGGCATCTCATGCCGCTAAGAGCAGGTTTTACATACCGATCAGACTTGTACTTTCGTTGATAATGGGTGCGGCGTGTATAGCTGCATCGTGACTTGGTAGAGACACAGGCGGCACATGGCAGATGCCTACTGCACTTTTGACACCCAAGACTCAATGGTTAGCAGCGTTTTTGGACCTCGTACAAAAGCGCACCCTTTTTCCCCACGCCACAGGTATGCAGCAGGGTGGGTCGTCATTCCATCTCACCTTGCTCTTCCTGTCATAACACTGGTCACACGATCGCGGACGTATCTCCTTCGTCGAGTTCACGTCGAAGATAACCTGTTCCATGGTTTCCACGGCTTAGAGGTACCAATGGCAGGGGCTTGTCCATTCTACAGATGATCATGCCAGATTCGAGGAGAGCTGGAGCCGACAAGGCTTGCTCAGGATCATGTGGCAAGGCCTTAGACGCTAGATCGAATTAGGGAGAGGTGCAGAGGATGTAAAGGGGGGTTCATCAAGACTACCTAGCATTAGTGGTTTTACTTTTACAAGTAGCGCCTCAAGCGGAATTTGGATTTTCCGGAGAGCTGCACAGGAGTCGACAGGCTCGATGAACTGGGTGGATGGCAGACAGGCGCACGGCTAAGCCTGGGAATACGGCTTTAATTAAAAAATTTTCCCTGGTAGTACGTACTTGTACACCCTCGTAAAGCAAAGTCTTCGAGGGCTTCTCCGCTGATCACAAGGTAGTACGTGCTGGATGAACAAGTAATCGCAAGATGATGTACCTAACACAGATGTCGGGCCGACAAGACCTCTAGCGTCGCCAATAGCGTGAACACACGCCCAGTCCCGGCATCTGGGATCCCCGCGTGACCCCGAATGCATGAACGCGGGGAGTCTCCGCCTCAGTCAGAAAGTTGTATGACCCATGGACGGCATATGAAAAGCATTCCGATTCCCCGAACTCAACCTTGTCTAGACTATTCCCTTTATGTCAAATTGCCGGTAGGTTGCCAAATCCCCACAGTCGTGTAAATCTTGGTGCTGTTGAGAGCATCTCGACCACTCTCGGACACAAACACTGCGCATTCCGGGTAATAAAGGACAGTGCGCCGAAATATGAGATGGAACTGCCAGGAGATCTAGCTGATTCCAGAGTAGAAGGGGAGCTCCAAAATCTTCTGCAGTGCCGCATTGCCACGTTCGCCTGTAGGCCTCTTTTCCCATGAAAAGGTCGTCTACAAGAGCTCGTCCTCTGTGCCGAGAAACACGACAGCTGCTGATCAGCCACGAGACACACTTCCTGCCAGCATAATGTCAATTCCTGGAACCATATCGTTGGCCAGCACAACGGCTTTGCCTGCTGATAGGATGCCAGCAGCCATCGTTCGTCGACCAAGAGACACATCCCATGCACAATTGTTTTCGGATCACTCGCAAGCTCTCGACGCAAGCTACAAAGAAGCAGCGGTGTTCAAAGATGACACGACAGCGACTTCTCGTCTCAGTGCTCTGATTGGAACGGACAGCTACCTGAGATGGAGACCGCGGACACATCTCATGCCGCGGCAGGGGTGGATCAATGACCCTTGTGCCGTTGGGTATCATGCAGCAAGCCAGACATATCATGTTGGCTTCCAGTGGAATCCCGACGACACGGCTTGGGGCAATATCTCATGGGGTGCAGCACATTCTCGAGACCTCGTCTCCTGGACCACTTCATCCAAACCGACCCTAGTCCCATGCAGAGAGTATGATAGCTTGGGAATCTTCACTGGATGCTGGGTGCCGTCATCCATCGATGGTTCAACGGACAATAGCAATGTAATAAGCGTATACACGGCAGTGAAGCACCTCCCGATCCATTACACGAGACCCTATGTTCGGGGCAGCGAGACTATTGCCCTAGCTATATCTTCAGATGCGGGTAGATCATGGACGCGCTATGCCAACAATCCTGTAGTTCTTGGGCCTCCTCCGGACCTAGATGTTACTGGATGGCGTGATCCCTATGTTGCACCATGGACGGCTATTACCGCCCTCTTGCATCACCAACACCAAAGACACGAGGCATCAATCCTCAGCAAGGAAGCAGGGTGCACAATGGCAAAGCCGCTATATGGACTTTTGTCTGGAGGCATTCGGGGAAAGACTCCAACAACATTTCTATATGAGATCGATGGTCGCGCTCTCGACAGTTGGCGCTATCTTGGCCCATTGATAGAACTTGGTCTAAACTTCTCACCATGCCCCCGATGGGTTGGCGACTTTGGAGCTAACTGGGAGGTTTGCAACTTTGTTTCGCTGTCAGATAACGCTTCCGGCACCTCGCCACGAAACTTCCTCATCTGTGGCGTTGAGGGTCGACTTGCATCGACCGAAGACCTCCTCTTGAAGGGAGAGTTCATGGCGACGCATGCACAGATGTGGCTGTCTGGCCCTATCGACTGCGAGGAAGAGACACCGAGGATGCGGTACCGAAGTGGCGGTATCCTTGATCATGGCGCCTACTACGCCGGAAGCTCGTTCTGGGATCCACAAACAGAGCAGCAAGTTATTTTCGGGTGGCTCGTGGAAGATGATCTCCCCCCAGAGCTGCGCGACCAACAAGGTTGGGCAGGCGCTATGTCTCTGCCTAGAATTCTAAAAGTTTTGGTGCTTCATTCGGTAACCGGCGCTCTTTTGTCGAAGCTCGAGGACATTGGACCCTTTGAGTTCGTTACTGAAGGCGACTCGACTACTGTTTATACCGGATATAGTCTCTGCATGGTGCCGGATCCAAGGCTTGAGAAGCTGCGCCTTGGGGAGCAAAGTCATCTCATCCTTTTGCAAGGCGGCTTACTGGAATCATTCTTTACCAAGCCACTTACAACATGGGAACTAAAGGTAACCTTCCGTTTGGGGCATGCAAGAGGTCGTCTTGGGTTTAGCATTCTTCATGGACATGGTACGTTTCGACCACCGCCTGATTGACGCATCATCTGACAACAGAGCCAACGGAATAGGTGAAAATACGGACATATATTTTGATCCCGCTACCGAGTCTGTCTTTGTAGACAGAAGCAGGTCAACCTCAGTCTCGGGTATCCGGAAAAGCAGCGAACAAGCTCCCCATACTCTCTTTGAATTTGCGGGTTCTCCTGGGAACGAAACCATTGATAAAGGTCGCAATCTAGAAGACCTTGAGTTTCATGTGTTTTATGATTGCAGCATCCTTGAAGTTTTTGTCAACCAGCGAACGGCGATCAGCACCAGAGTCTATCCAATATCGGGTACTAGCATTGGGCTCGGGATCATTGGCGTACCTGGCGAGTACAATCGAACCGAATTACGACAGTGTACCCTTTGGCCATTAGAAAGCAGAAATGTATCAACTTCCCATTAGAACAAAGTATTACTTGATGGCTTGCATTATTCATGCAGCGGAGCCCCACCAAAGCAACAATACATGACCGACCGTGATACAACGCTGCATGCACCGTCCTTTTCAGAAAAGGGCCGGCTTCATGTCCTGTGTTCCATCCTTCATTGCCGGGTTAGATCCGAGTCGTCGGACCTAGTGCGCCTCAGTGTAACTCTCGTGCGACCACAAGGTTAGACTTGGGAGCTCTACACAACAGGGTTCATGCGTCAGGATACGAAAATGCGAACCAGCACTCCATATACTGATGGCAGGCTTTGATCTCTTGCGTGTTAGAGATCACTGGAGACAAGCGTTAGCAGGAGCCCGAACATCTATCCCGCCCGGGACACACCGGCGCGACAATGTTGCTCAGAGCCCTCCGACTGGTGTGTCAGCAACCACCTGGGTAGAGGCTTGTAGCCCTGTCAGAAAGCTCATTTCTTGTCATTTCAGACAGTCTTTAACCACATACAGACCCCGATCATCATCTAATGGATACCTGTGCGAAGATGATTAAGGCATCATAAAGATGCGCTCAACGGCGTATGTTGAAGCAGCCAAAGATTCAAGCTTGAATGGCATCAGCCCTGACTGATAGCCCGGACGCTGAGCTCAGCAAGACGATGCCAGGGGCCGTTGAGGAAAGGGCTTAATAAGCGAAGCTGACTCTTATGAATAGTTGTTTTTGAGGGGGATGCAGGTGCAGCACTAGTAAAGGGCCGAATAACCGCAACGTAAAACAATGTGTCGCTCACACCCCCAATCCAACCTCAACAGCTCTTTCCCCCATATAGCGTTTCATTTGGCCCCCCCCCCCCCCCCCCCCCCCCCCCCAC